TTACAGTGAGAGTCATTAGCGCCCTCACAGGCTAGACAACCAATGGTCTTTGTCGGAATATCTGACTAATTACGTAACTAATTCCACAGAACAGCATTCTTCTCGAGCAGCTAACAGTACCCTCAGCTTGTCAGGATAATCTCCAATGTTTACTCAACCAAAAGTTTTGTTACCATCTACACAAGAGCCCGCCATCGGTCCTTGTCGTCAGCCAGATAAATTCCATCTACAACCTTCAACTTTTATTAACATTTTTTTCCCATCTGTATCGATACTTCCAAACCTCTTTGTTATTCACAGTGGTATTTATTCATCAGGCTATCAAACTGTAATTTTATATGCATATCTGATGTCCCCCATGCGTGCTAAATAAATCACCCATCTATTTTACTAGGTTTAAGATTAATAATCCTAATACAATTTGGCGAAGAACACAGTTTGTGAAGATCCTTATAATGTAATCCTTTTTTAAACCTCCTGTAATTTCCTCACTCTTAGGCCCAAGTATTCTCCTAAGCTCAGTCTGGCATTCCTTTAATAATGAGAGACAAAGTTTTAAACCCCGCACAGAGAAGTAAATACGAAAAACTTAAATTGTATATCATTTATATATCTAGGATATTTTTAATATTTTAATTTAGTTCTATTGTATATTATTTATAAATTATCTCAGTAAGCTGTATTAAGTTTATAGGAGAAAGTGTGGAAAACAAGATTACTTTTAAGAAACATAAAAAGAAGTTCTTTAAGTTTAGCCGTGTTGCAATTAATTGTCATACACTAATTATGTATTTAATAATAATTTTACTTTATTTTGTAATTTATTTATAGTTACTTAACTACACTTTCGGTACCTTAGACTATGCTATTATACCATTGAACGAGCAATAAATTAGTAATTAGTTGCAAGTATGAGTGACTCGTGACAGGCCATGTAGTGAAATTGTGTTAGTAGTCCGTTGAGAAACAGAAGACAATGTCACAACACGATTATTTGTTCTGCATTCCTTTCTTTAATGAGAATTAACTGCAGACTGCGGTGTACCCTACTTTTCTCAAGTCACACACCATGCATTTGTAATACAGAGGACTTGACTTACTAATACAATGCGCGAAGTTACCATTCTGAAATTATATAAGAGAAATAAAGCCAGAAAGTGAAAATATCAACCGTTTAACAGAGCAAGAGAGTAAAAATACAGGGTGAGTCATTATTGCCCTTTATAATTTTAACGACAGAAATAAAAAATGCAAATATACTTTTGTCCGATAATGTCTCATTTTCGAGATAATCCACTTTAAATTTATGAGTAGCACGTACTTAGAGATTCTCGGTTTGAAATTTCTTGGTCGATATCAATATGGTATTTGTCTTTGTTGATAGTGTTGTAATCAACTGTAGTTTGTTATGATTTTGGAAATGCTGAGAGGTTACTCAGCTACGAGGAAAGAAGGAAATACGTAGGATCCGATGTAATTTGTGCCTTAGTTTGGATATGGAAGTGAGGGAACGTGGTTCCATCTGACAGCGTACAAAACGATCTATTCAGACGATGAATATGCAAATTTTTATTTTATATTTGGCAAAGAGCGGAAATTCAGATGTGGCACAAGGGTTGTGTGCTAATACGTTCCCAACCACCATTTTGAACATTTACTCTGAAGTAGTTCATTTGCACTTATTTAGATTCATTTAACAAATAAATAATATATCGCTTCATTTCTTACCAGTGTTGTTAAAATGTCAAAGGCCTCTGCTACAAAATAGAAATGTTACATTGGTACACGGCTCAAGAACAGAGTTATACTTCTGTAGAAGTAATTAAAACTAATTCAGTTTACAGAGACACAACGGTGGTTATGTCGGAATAAGTTTGTTCGTACAAGTGATTGCCTCTTTAATAACCTTGTTTACGGAACAAATCTACATGAAGGGTGGACATGTTTACGAAATATTGGCGATCTGTACGGTTCAAGGAATGTCAAAAACGTAATCAAATTTAAATGGCTGCAATTAAAATATAGACGTTTCCTGACAAACATTTTTACTTGTTTATGGGGATATAACATATCCTGGAATTTATGGAAGACAATAATTGTATTACTCTGTTTATATCTCGATTAATTTGTAAAACTGAGGATGCAATACCGTCCACGTGACAAATATCTCTTTTTGTTTCTTCACATTATGACTAATTTTAAGTAAGAAAACATAAAGTTAATATTCGTCAAGATAGACGAAAAATTTCCCGTGTTTTATTAAACCCTACGGTTAATTATTGTGATCAGAACAGCCAGACACTAGTCCATGTGCTCAGAAATTCACCTTACGTCACAACCTCTCAGAGAACGTCTTCACGATGCATTTTAATATTATTCTTCTCTCATCTGAGCAAGGTCTTCCAATTCAAAATTTCTCAACCTATGGTACGCGTACCACTGGTGGTACGCGAGCCAATGTTGAGTGGTATGTGAACTAAGTAAGAAAATCAAAAGTTAATATTAACATAAATAACAGTTTTCCCTGAACACATTTGATCAGTGGTACATTTAATGTGTTAGATTAAAATTAATGGTACGCCAGCGAAAATGGTTGAGAACCCCTGTTAAAAGTGATATCTTCACATTCTCTGACTAATTTTTATTATACATTTATCATTTCTACATGCCTTCCCTTCTATTTCTTGTTGATTTAATCGCGGTAATGATATCTGATGTGTAAAAATTACTCATTATGAATTTTTCTGTGGTTGCCTGTTATTTTTTCCTTCCTAATTCTAATTATTGTAAGTTTCTGGATCAGAAATTAACATAGGCACTGCCGTAATTTTTGCCTACTAATGACCAAGTTTTAATCTCAAATTCAGAAAAAGACTTACGAATAACAGGTCATGAGCTGAATAACTTAATAAATAAATACGGGTTGACGATCTCGATAGAAAAGACTAAGACAATGACATTCTGTGGCCGAAAACCAACAAGAAGTAAATTGGCAATAGACAACAAAATTATTGAACAAATACTTACTTTTCTTACCTGAGTTGTTCCCTAACATATGAAGCAGAAAAATACATAGATATTAAATCTTCATAATTTATAGAAGTTACTGGCCTTATCAACATGTGTTTTAAACCATCAAAAGTCCAAAAGCAAACTATAATAAAAAGTTATAATACTTTGGCACTACCAACAATTTTATATGGAAGTGAAAACTGGACATTTACAAATAAGGACACAAAAAATTACAGCTGCCGAGATGAAATTTATGAGACGCACTACAAAGTACACTTGGATGGACTATAAAAGAAATCACGACCTTAAGAGTTAAAAACGAAACCCGTTTTAGACAAAGTTTTGAAATATAAACACAGTTGGCTTCAACATGTTAGCATAATGCAGAGAGACAGACTTCCTACATTATTAAAAAAATACACACCACGTGGACGTAGAAACCCTGGAAGACAGCAGGAGAGACTTTTTAGGCTACGAGTGGATCAATATGACCTAACGCCTTGACTGTTTGATGATGATGATGATGATGATGAAAGCGTGGTATGGTATTTTGTGTCCACATTGTTACAAGTGTGTGTGTGTAAAATAGTGATTGACCAAGTTCTCAGTAATGGCGCTAGATGGCAGAATGTTCTATTTTAGGAATACTAACACCATTTGGTAAAATTTTAGACGCACTTCTAAAATTCTAAAGGACAAAATGAACTAGCGGGTAAATATTTTTTAAAAAGTAAACAAGGAATGAAGATATGAAATAAATTATTACCCGTTACATTTCAACCACTATTTTAAATTGTTTAGATTGCATTTATACGAGTTATAAGATAAGACGAGAAGAATGAGATGGGCGAGGCATGTGGTACGCATGGATGGGACAAGAGGTGTGCACCGGGTATTGGTTGGGAAGCCTGAGGGGAAGAGACCGCTGGGGAGACCTAGATGTAGATGGGAGGATAATGTCAGGCGGGCTCTATGGGAGATAGGAGTTGAAGGAGACAGGGTCCGGTGGAGGGCTTTGGTTAATTCGGTGATGAACCTTCGGGTTTGGTAAGCCATCTAGTTAGTTAGTTAGTTAGTTGGTTTACAAGTCATGAGATAAAAGAGATTAAGCTAGATTCAGTGCTTTCACGGCTATAAGTATGAAGATGCCTATCTTCTGGGACGTAGTACCTTCTAGTCTGGTATGTACTTACAGATGTTTTGGAGGAACGTAACTAGTTTCAATATCAGGGGCATTAACCTTCTCTATAACGTCGGTCAGTATCTGCCAGACTACCCGCTGCTATATTTCAGAAGACATCAACTTCACGATAATAAAGTTGCCAGCTGTGACTAAGCTTGTACACTGCATTCATCTGTTAATTATAGTACGAGATATCGATAATGCGCCGTTTTTTATTTTTAATTATCGATTAACATGCCTCAAAATCTAACTCTATAATATTCTTGGTATTCGTTATAGCCTGTTTTAATTGTAATAACACTTATTTCCATGCTGAAGGTCCAGAGTTACAGTTAATTGCTACCGTCGGTTAATTAACTGTCATAGTTTTAGGGCCAGTATAATTAAAAACATGTAAATTATACAGTGTTGTATAATTCTGAAGATCGCTTGTATATACACTATGTTTATTTAGCTGGTTGTTGTGTTAGTATTTGTTCACTTTTACGTAGTATATGAATAATTGTCAAATTTTGATTAGATTGATTATTTGGGCTCCTCTTAGAGGAATACAGATGATGAGTGATTTGAGGTTTTCACAGCGGTGAGTATTCGATTTCTGTCTTCTGGGTTGTTGCGCTATATAGTCTGGTCGATGAATTCATCGCCCTGATGACGGAGGCAGCATGACCTCTGAAACGTTGGTAAACCTCTACCAGACTACACAGCGCAACAACGCAGAAGACAGAAATCGAATACAGATGAATTTGCGTGAATGGGAGAGGATATTAGCCCTCAGTGGATAAATAAATTGAAATACGAGTAGTTCACTCAAACGAAGCATTTATTTACAACAGATACAATACAAAACAAGCAGCTCTATCAAGAGGATAAACATAAAATGAAACTTGATGGGTATTTACTAGTGAAGGTGCTTTGAGCTAAACACTGACCTAACAAGGTAAAGCAGGAACTAGTGGTAGCTGTATCTAGGAACTGAGTGGGTGTATAGGGGGGCCGCGTGGGAGTACGTGATAACTGGGGCTGCCGCCACGACCTTTTTGACGGGGACAACGACTTTCTTCAAGATTGGCGCTGGATGAGTGGCGTGTCCAGACTTCTCGACGATGGCGTTGAACCCGGTGTGTTTGTCAGCTGTGTAGTGAACTGTGCGGATTGTGCCGTCAGGTTCAACCAACTTGTAGTAACCTTCGACTTTGTCGCCGTTTCGCTTCTCAGCCTGCTCTTTGATGTCCCCAGTGTGTTCATCCTTGACTCCGTACTTGAACTCGTACTGGGCAGGAGCCTGAAATATATCAAATGAAAATTATGGTGAAGAAAAAGGTTTATTACTACAGATGAAAAATGCGTACAGAAATTTTGGGCGGAAGCCTGAAGAACGTTGGTCAGTTGGATAGTCTAGGGGTAACGAGAGAAAATAGAGTAGAGGAATTTGGACTGAATTCAGCTGACTCAGGACAGGGACAAGTGGTGAGATTTTGTGTAAGACAGTAATGAATATTCGTGTTTCGTAATACGAGAGAATTATCTTGATTGCTTGTGGACTCTCAAGATGGACTCTTGACCACGTGCTTACTTAAATGAATGTTGTGTGTATATTTTATTTACATTTTAAGTTGTGGATTCTAAAATTGTTACTTGGATTCTGAAATGTATAAGCATGTAATATTGCCAGTAACAAAATATTTGGTGTGTTATTTACTTCAGTCGACTAGGTTTGACTGTAACATGTGCGTATATGAATCACTAACAAATTACTAATCTCTTGGTGTCGTTTGTTTACTAACACTGTCTTATTACGTGTGTTATGTATGTATATTCCGTGATAATTATGTTGCAGGAAATATCTAGCATTATTAATACCAACGAATTTTTTACGGTTTTTTTATATTACCTCCTATGGTATTTGTTACGTTGATTACACTAATCCAGTCATTGAATCAGTTAACATGACTACCTAGCAAACATGAAGACGTCCCTGGGGTAACGCTCAGCTTCACCTACCATTGACGACTCAGTTCTCCAATATTTCATCCAATTAATTGGCTTAAGTTACTTCTACCTCTGTTCGTAGTTTAGATTTTATAATTTTGAATTTACATGTTACCTAAATTACAAATATTAGTCCGTCCTTGAACATATTTTAATGTTATCATTTCAGCTTTATCTCCGTACTTACAGCGGTAGTTAACCAAGAGGTTTCCCACCAAAAATTTGCGAGTTTCTCGATTTCATTAATCCGAGTTGTGTGTATCCTTCTAGCACTGAATTGAGAACTGGTTAAGAAAATGTTAAACTTCCAACAAATATTGTAGACACCATGGACGCCTATCACTAC